CATACCTGCGATGGTTTGCGAGGTTCGAATATATTGAGGTTAAGTGTGCGGTCAGTTATATAAATGTTATGACTAGTTTTCCTGTTATCCGTTGCACAGTTGCTGTAACTGGGTGTTGCACCAACGGTGGTTTGGACTGTGTTATCCCATTCGTCATCAGCACAACTACTATGGGTTGAATCTAAGTCAACATTCTTAAGAGGATGGACACCACCTACATCGAGATTACTTTCTTCTGGGTTTTGAACTTTAGGAGATTCAGAAGAGTTTTTCGGTAGGGGCATACTTGTAAAGCTAGACGTCCTCTTAGGATCGGACTTAATTTTACGACCATTAGGATTATGATGCGGTTGGGAGTTTGACCCTGGTGGTCTGTGGATATATCTTCCTGCTTTTCTCTGGCAGGGTGTTCTATCTGGAAGAATCTTGATATTCTTGAAAATCTGTTTTTTCTCAATGAATTGGAGAAAGTTAAAAACTCAGTGGCGTCTACAGATGAGTTGAACTTGAACAAGAAGATTGAGTGCATACCAGGGTGACTTCTTTTTAATCTTGTGCATACACATGGTATGTGTGTCATATTGATGGCTCTAAGCAGACTAGATTTGGTATTTTTAAGGGCGTACGTGTCCGATATATTAAACATAATTGCATTGCTAGGTCGTCTTATTCTTTCAAATACCTCTGATGCAACACGATCTAGGAAATTATTTATGTCGTTCATTTGATCTGGAGTCCCTGAGGTTGGGGGTTGATGAGATATTTAAGCAGATTGAGAATGTTCATGTCTACTTGCAACTTTTTTATATCATCCATGTGGTTGCAGTTGCAATTATCATCACTGTTCACCAATAGATTCTTCAACATGTTTGGAATGGAGACAACTGGTAAAAGCTTGTCTGCTTCCGGATGAACAGAGTAGCTCGTCTCGATGAAACTATCGGAAATCGTGTCAGTAGTAGTGTTAGATTGTGTCGTTTTCCTACGTTTGGCTGGATGCCTAGAAGCAGGGGTCTTCATTTTCTTTTGTGGCATGATAAGAAATTGACGTATAGCAGATGGGTTGAACAAAATGTTGGAAATAGAAATGGGTGAAAAATCAATTCCAAGGGCTTAAGTTAGTCTGGAAATCAAAACCTGTTTTAACCAAAAGTGAATATATCATGAGGATTAGTGAATATGTCAAAAACAAGAGATGAGAATGGCAGGAAGATAGTAGTGGAGATGTAGTATTTATGTCAGTATCTGTTTGGAGGCAAAATAGAACATAAAGGAGCACGTTGTGTAAATCTTAACATATATATTACACGAAAAACAGCCTTATATAATAAAGTAATTTAGAAATGTCGATAATTAGTATCAAACAAAGCGAGTACGGTATGTGATACATATATAAACTGAAAGTCCGCATTAGTAAAAATTGAGAAGTGCAGAGATAAGTAGTTTAAAAGATTATTACCGTTCAAGATTATTAAGTTGCTTTATGAACAAATATATGAAACAGCTTTTTGGATAAAAAAAATACTGTCAAAAAAACTATGACAGACTCACCGAATTGGACAGGAAATTTCGGAAATTAAATGAGTCATAGTATCCAAATATGATTTAAATGACAGTTCATGAAATAGTGAGTACAGTGCTTTAACATATACGACTATATATATTTCTTGAGATTATGTAGAGGTTTGAATAGATCCTGTAAATACATAAAGTACGTGGGTTATAGCATCCAAACACGATATAACCATATATTCCTTTAGGAATAGAATACAGATATGAATTGCAATTCTTCGTCGAATGATTATGTATGGTTTTAAAAATGACAGAGCATCGTTTGATCGTACAGCCGAAATGGATATATGTAATTATATGATTATGAATTATTGTATGAATATGATCATAGATACCACGAATAAGTTAAACTCCGATCTTATCATATAGCATGAAATTCACAGTTTATATGTTAATAGTTCAGGATTGAGTTATCTTCCGTAATTCCAAGAAAAGAGAAGAAATAATCCATCCAGCTCTGCGAGAATCCTGGAAAAAGAAAACCGAAGGCCTCTGCCTGAAAGTAGCGTCCAGTCCGTAGCGCTTTAGCACAGGTAAAACCTACCTCTATGCCGATGACTTGAAAGTCATCTATAAAACTGACATTTGCGATGTACATAGTACTATGCAAACAATCCAACATGAACTCAAAATGGTAGACGACTGGTGCAAACACACTGCCCAGACTGGCATCAGTAACTGATACAGAGGTACTTTACTCACACAGTCTTAATTTCTCTGAACAGATCTCAGCCAAAGCATCTAAAATGCCGAAACTGCTTGGCTTCATTCTCCGTAATTTCTATCAAACTGAATCTGAAATCCTTTATAAAGTTTGTGTAAGACCTATCGTTGAATACTGCTCGTTCTTATTTTCCAACCGACGCCTATCTGATATACTAAAGGTGCAAGGAATACAACGAGACTTCACCCGCAAAATACTTAAGACTGACTCAGTCATTGACTACAGTTCCCGATGCCAAATCTTAGGAATAGAACCCCTTTGGAAGAGAAGGCTTAAGTCTAATTTGATTCTCTACTTCAAACTACTCAAAAACCTTACCTATTCAACATGTAAGATAGCTCTTGCCCTAGATTCACATGAATACGAGCTTCGAAACAAAGTATCTATGGTCAAGGTTGAAAAATACGGATCAAAAACTCGGGAAAACTTCTTCCTCATCAAATATGCAATAATATGGAGCAGTCTCCCCTCCGAAATACACATGGCAGATACATTACATACGTTTGTGAAATTGCTTGATCAAGCGCCTACTTGCACTGATCTAGCACGTAAGAAAACATCTGCGCCCCACTCAGACATCACAGGCTCTCTCATGACATATGCTTAGTTGTTTGAGGTGAACTCAACCAACCAACCTAAGATGTTACAGATGCATCTAGTGAAATGCTAAGACCGAAGTTAAGTGAACCAATTAATGTTTTCCACAAGTCCAATGATAACTCCGAGGTAGAAAGATAAATTGTCTAGACTATTCACCTCTTTCTGTATCTCTCAATTCCACTGCTACTGTGGATCAAGTCACATTTGCAGATGTTCTAGGAATTTGTACATTCGGGCTCCTTAGCACCTCCAGTATGGTTAAGCAAATTTGTGCTGAAAACGGTTAGCAACTCCATTTTAACCCATTTAATTCAGACGGAACAGACAGGCAACATAGGGCAGTCTTTCGCAATAATATATCTTGTTAGCGGCAGTCTACCTAATTCCGTCAGACTGAGAATCTTGCAGACGGCTGAAGCAATTGCTGTTGAGATCGAAACGCCAACTTGGGGGTCAAATAGTTAATAATAAATTTTATAATATAGTGACGTAATTTGATTAATGTTTATTTTTATGTCCCAAACTTCATCCGAAATACCCTCACCCATTTTAACTTAGTAGGCCACTTGCTTAATATATTTCTTATCAACGCTCGATGGGTCTGCAACAAAAAGACGGATTTAGCCCTGTTTGTATCCACATATTAACCATCACTTATTATGACATCTGAAGCATGGACTAACAGTAATATTTCCGACCGAAGTATATCTCTTGATAACTATTTCCTATATAGAAGCGACAGATTGAATGGACGTGGCGGAGGATGCCTTATTTACGCTCACTCTAGCCTAAACTCACTACTATGTGATATGCCTGAACTAAACAAACTGAAGGATTCGGTGTGGATTGTATTAAAGCCGTCGAATTCCGTTACCTTACTGCTCGGCTGTGTTTATCGTCAACCTAACGCATCAATAGATGAAATAGCAGTATTATCGGAGGTATTCACACTAGCATCATCCCTCTCATTCACAGGCAAGCTCATTTGTGGTGACTTTAATATGCCCGAAATTTCTTGGCTGCCAGTCAAAGCGCCGAGACGTTATGAATCATTTATTGAATGTCTAGAGCTTGGACAATGGACTCAGTATGTCGATAGCCCTACCAGACATCAAAACATCTTAGACTTAGTCTTTACCAGTGGCCTCATCCCCAATACTTTGTATATTGGAAAAAAGTTCCCAGGTAGTGATCATAACATTGTCATATGCAGCCTTAATGTAAAAACCACTACCGATAGAAGTAAAACGGTAACGCTTCGTGGAAACTATCGCAAGGTTGATTGGAATAACTTCCACAATTACCTAAGAAGCACTGATTGGAGAACTTTCTTTACCTCAAACAATACCGACACATTAACCAATATATTTTATCACAACATCAAAAGTATCATCAAGAACATCGCACCTTTAGAATACTGTAAACCTACGTTCTCCAAAGACCTCTATATACCGTTCAGTACAAGAAGACGTCTTCAAAGACATTGTACTCGATTCCACAACTTAAATTACTTTTCCTCTTTAATAACGATGACAGAAATACTTGTCCGAACAGAGGCAATAAGTAAACAAAAAGCAGTCGCACAGGAAAAATGTGCAGTTGAACTTAATAATAACTTCTCTGCACTCACCATGCTACTCCAAAATAAACTTAAACGCTCTAAATCGAGAGGGAGTATATTCATTAAAGGCAAACAAGTATACGAAGATCCCAAACTTATCACAGAATTATTCAGTGAACATTTTTGTTTCTCACTAACTAACGAAAAACCATTTAATGATTCAGAACCAATCCCAGTAACTCCCTGTGAAATTACTAATGTAGAATTCAGTGTACAAAATATCTTCAAAGCAATCAGTACATTGAAACACTCCTACACTGATGGACCAGATGGTATTCCATCTAGCATGCTAAAACGTGGAGGTGATGACATATGTGTTTTGCTTCTCAAACTATTCGCGATATCACTCTCCTCAGCGTGTTACCCTACTGCCTGGAAAACTACACATATCATTCCCAAAATTAAAACAGGACCTGAAGCAAACGTTGAAAATTACCGGCCTATAAACATAACTTCAGTGGTATCCAGAGTGATGGAAAAAGTAGTTAAGGCGGCTGTAGTCCAACATCTACTAACTAATAATCTCATCTCGACCTCCAGCATGGATTTCTTAGGTTCAGATCATGCGATACATGCCTAGTAGACTACCTGAATGATATAACTCTGAAACGAGATAGCGGACTCCTCGTATCAGTCCTATACCTAGACTTTAAGAAAGCCTTTGATAAGGACCCACACAAAAGGTTACTCGTCAAAATTAAGTCCTTCGGAATACACAACCCACTGTACTCGTGATCTGCTTCGTTCTTATCATAACGTAAGCAGATGGTAAAGTACAATGACTGTCTCTCGTCCCCTAGACCAATCATCAGTGGAGTCATCCAGGGAAGCGTATTAGGTCCACTTTTGTTTCTTATGTATACAAACGATATATGTAACACCATAGAATTTGGGAAACCATACTTATATGCTGATCTCAAAATAGTATACAGCTATAAGCCTGAGGCACTAAGCGAAAGTGTATCCCAGGTCCAAAAGGACCTCAATAACTTAACTATATGGAGTGAAAAATGGCAATTACCATTTAACCTCAACAAGTGCGGGATCATGCACTTTGGAAAGCATCCCTATAAACCGCAACTTCACTTAAATGAAAGTAGAGTCCAAACACTCGAATCAGTACACGATTTAGGAATTAATTACACAGGAAGCCTGAACTTTGAAGAACATGCCTCCTCTATTATTTCTAAATCTAGACGGCTAATTGGTTTTATAATGAAAAACTTTTTCACAACAGAGGGTAAACTTACTCTCTACAAAATATGTGTACGACCCTCCCTTGAATACTGCTTTTTTGTCTTCTCTAATATGAATATCACAGACAAGATAAGAGTAGAAGATGTTTAAAGACATTTCACACGTCAACTACTAGGATGTAACTCGAATCTCGATTACACAGATAGATGTAAGCATCTATCTTTAGAACCTTTATGGCACCGTAGGCTAAAGAACAATTTAATATTTCTCTACAAAGCGATATATGGGCTCTCCTTTCTAACCTCCTGCCCGACTATCACCCACGACCCAGCCTATAGACTTAGAAACAACGCATATACACTATTCACCATAAAACACCAAAAACAAATGCGTTGTAAGTTTTTTACAGTACGGTATAGTTTATTGTGGAACAGGCTGCCAATGCCTACCCGTAACTGTGATACGTTTACCAGATTCAAAAAGCTAATAACCCTATTTCTGGACTCCAAGGAGCTTCAACATTTCCTTGAACTCCCGCCTACCATTGAGGCACTTTATTACGGACCGCCTAGTATCTAGAAAGAACAAGATTATAACAAGTTCGACTGTTACTAATATGAATATAACCAAATCACAGAATATATGGCTTATCCTTTCCTATTATTCATTGTTTATTGATCGTGGCCTTGTGCTCCTAACCCTAGCTTTCAGTTCTCAAATCTCTACAGGTTAAATATATATTATTCTTCCTAAAAGTCATGCCTTTTTTTCTACAATTTTATACCCTCTCATATCTTTTGATTTGCTATTAGTCCTTACTTCTTTAAACCATTAGTTATTTTCATAGCAGTGTGATATACTATGTGGACATCGAACCCATAAAACAGACTTTTCAACTATCTGATTTGGTTGTAACATGGACCTAGTAGAGACAGTGTATTCCAAACATGGGGTTTGATTAAAGCAGTATTCATACTTACCACAAACGTAAGAGAGCCTAACATCACAAAGGGAGGGCGGGTGGCGTTACTGACCAGCAAACATGATGGTGGGAAGATAAATTCAATCCACCCATGTCTGTAGGGCAGAACAATTTGTTTAATTACGGCTCCTTATGGTTTATAGTGGAATGTCACGAACTTATTCAGTTTCAGTTTGGGAAGGACAGGAGGCTCGATGGCCTATGTTAGTCCTGACAATGGTGGTCTCTCAGTTGATCCAACTTTCTTTTGAAAGAGTCGACGGCTGGAGCCTCAACCACGTACTGAGGTAGTGAATTCCACTCGTTGATGATTCGATGGGAAAGTCGATAGTCAGCTGACAAGTAATTTGTTCTCGGTTTGTGAACTTTTTTGGAGTGTCCTCGTAAATTCTCTGTTTTGGAAGACAAGAAAAATGAGGGCATATCAGGTGCAAATTTATCACTAAGCAATTTGTAGACTGCAATCAAGTCGCTTCTAGTTCTGCGATATGACAACGGGAAAAGGTTCAGCTTGGCCAGTCGAGATTCATACGGAAGCTTCGCTATTCCGGGAACCAGCTTAGTCGCCGTTCTCTGAACCTTTTCCAGGAGCTCACTGTCTTTTTTTAAGCAGGGGCTAGCCGCTTGTATGCAGTACTCAAGTTTAGGACGAACGAACACTGTATACAAAGTCAAAAACGTCTTAGCGTCGACATGACTAAAAGCCCTACGTATTGACCATAACGTTCTAAAACCTTTGGCGGCTATTGCACGGCAGTGTGCAGTAGTCTTTAAGTCTTGACTAACGATAACTCCTAAGTCATTATATGTCTGGACGACAGGCAGCTCAGTGTTATTCATCGTGTATGTATCTGTGCCTTGATGATCGATATGCATCACAACACACTTGGAAGTATTTATCGGCAACTGCCATGTTTGAGACCATTCAGATAACTTCTTCAGGTCATTTTGAAGTTCTAAGCTATCACTCTTACATCGTATCGTTCTCCATATCTTGACATCGTCAGCATATAGCAAGACCGATGATGATAGGAGACAAGGAAGGTCATTTACATACAAGAGGAATAGCACTGGCCCCAAAACTGTACCCTGGGGCACTCCACTAAGCACAGTTTCCCAGCTAGATAACTTTGAGTTCACCCGAACTCTTTGTTGACGCCCAACTAAGAAGTCTTTTATCCACATCAATAAATTGCCTCTAATCCCGACTTTTCTTAACTTATATAACAGCCGGTTGTGCGGAACTTTATCAAAAGCTTTACTGAAATCAATGAAGGCGACGTCTACAGGTAGCTTTTGGTCCTTAAGAGCACACCAGCTTTCATGAGCCACTAATAAGTTAGTGAGACAAGAATAACCTATTCTGAAGCCGTGCAGCTTCTCCGAGAGGATCCGGTTTTTATCGAGATACTTAAACAGCTCCTTCCGAATAATCCTTTCTAATATTTTAACAACCACACTAGTTAGGCTAACGGGGCGGTAGTTCTCAGGTTTGTGTTTCGTGCCTGTTTTGAAGACAGGACTTACTATGGCGTTTTTCCAATCTTTCGGTAAGCGACCCTGCGTAACGGATAGGTTAAAGCATGTACTTAAAGGGCTTGCGACGAAGTTAGATAATTCCTTCAGTAGCCTAGGATGTAATTCATCGGGCCCCGTGGATTTACCTATGCCAAGCTTATTTAGCAGACCAAAGACATCGAGTTCTTTAATGGTCACACTATCCAGTGTATGTATGGGGGGATCTGTATACGCTGACGAGAAGGGCGCTTCTATGGTACACACGTTGCTAAAGTAGTTCGAGAACGCTTGAGCCTTACCAAAGTCGTCCTCCACTAATGATGAAGCAGTACTGTCTCCCCATAGAGCAGGAATATTTCCTTTTCTCCTTGTCCTTTGGTTTATATAGGAATACAAGCGTTTAGGACATTCTATGGATTCCTTAACAAGTTTTTCTTCGTACAATTTTCTAGACTTACGGAGGGTCGAGGCACAAGTATTCCGAGCCTTTCGATACTGAGATTTTGACTCATCAGTCCTCAGTAACCTAAATCTGTCCCACATTTTCCTTTTCTTACGGAGAAGGATACGGACCTCCCTACTGAACCATGGTGGTGAGTTTTTCGGCCCCTTTGGTATAGTCCAAGGGATGTGAGGTGTGGTAACTTTTAAGTATGAATTTCGAAATGTGTCCCAGGCCGTTTCAATGGAGGACTCTGGGTCTATTGTCCAATCTATTAACGATGCTGAGTGCATGATGTCTGGTATGTTTGCTTTCCAGACGTTGGGTGTGGACTGGACTGACGCGTGCTCGTGACTGGCAGTTATATGGAAGTCGAAAGTTAAAACTGCGTGGTCACTTTTACCTAAGGGTGGCATATGATGGAGGTTCGCAACATCATCCTCATAGTGAGTCAGTATAAGACCTAATAAGGATGATTCAGTGTCTGGGTCGTACCTTGTCGCTTCTTTCACATGTTGCACTAGAGCACATGTGATAACCCCATCAACTAGTTCCTGCTCGAAAGAATTCTCCGACGATTTAGTTCGCAGATTTTCCCAGTCTACCATAGGTGCATTAAAGTCCCCTAGGATTAGACATCGACCACTTTGGGACCAAGTATTGAGACTGCTTAACAGGATCTCATTTGCCTCACAGCTTGGACTACGATAGACCAAACCAATCAGCAGCTCTTGTCCCTTGCATTTTAAGCGAAGACTAACTAATTCACACGTCCCACTCTCATGGGATACACTATCGATAATGGTAAATGGGATAGCATTCTTAATGAATAGAGCTACTCCCCCTCCTTTGCGCTTTTGTGTTCTGTCGGCCCTTACTAACGTAAAGCCCTCGAAATCAAGTTCTATACTATCTATAGCCTGTGTCAGCCAGGTTTCTGTTACTGCGATTATATCTGGCTTTGTAGAGTCAATCTGTACACCTAGTTTCGATCGCTTATTAAGTAAGCTTCGTGCATTGGTGTAACAGATCCGAAGCCTCTTTAAGTGCCTTCGTGCTTCACCCAGAGTGGCTTCGGCATCATTCTCTGTCGAAGTCTTACAACCCGAAAATTTACAATTTTCAGGTCCTTTTCGCCAGCGTCTAACCTATGTTGTAGTTCTTTCTCGGCTTCCCGTCTTTTAACACGGTCTGCCAACGGTAGGTCCTTTCGGATAAAGACTCCTGAACCCTTTAATCTGTGTCCATTTTGTAAAATTAGGTCACGTTCGTTCGAAGAGCCGAATACTACTTTAAGCAGCCTGGAATGATTTGGTTTCGAGTCCGTTAGACTCCCTAGTCTGTACACCTTTAGCAAGGTGACCCCGGTCATATTTTGAGGCATGAGTTGATTAAGCAGCTGCCTAACCAGTACAATGTCATGCTCAAAACAAGCTTTAGGTTCAGAGCTATCGCTCTCCTTGATTCTATGAAAAATAGCTGATCTGTCGCTATGATCAGCTTTCGATTTTTCAGCCACTTTTACGGGGGCAGGTTTCCCTTTTATATCAATGCTTTTCTTCCTTACAACCTTTACCCATTCGTCAACGGTGCTGGTAGAAGCAATAACAGTTGCGTCAAACCTAGTGTTGGGTTTTGGAAGGTAGTCGACGACCTGAGGGGTCGTGTTATGTTTACCGTTTGAAACCGATCGAGCCTTGCGATTGCGGCTCCTAGGTGTTTCCTGTTGGATCCCATCTGGGAGACGGGGAACAGAAGACCCTACTTTTCTTGAGCTTTTTTTTAAGGCAGGCCTATTTGGAGACTGCTTTTCCTTCTTTGACGGGCGTGAGTCATCTATCACCGGACTAACCTTAGTTTCCTTCACGTTGATTTGCGTGTCGACAGACCGAGTGCTGTTTGACGCGTTCCGGCTATGCTTGCTAAAACACTTCTTTGCAGCATCAACCAGTGAGATGGCCTCGGTTAGCAAGCTGTTTGCATCCGAGCAGCACTGTTGACAAGGCCACACACAACCCTTTTTACTGAACCGTTTGAAAGCAGCAGGCGTTAGGTTCGTGCAAACTTCGTGGTACCAGCCTTTGCACTCGTCGCACTGCATGCCGCTTTCAACAGGATAACGACAACCCGGACGTTGACATCTGCTTTTTTTACACTGTCCGGTCATTTTGGAGGGGTTCTTTTTTAAACTGTGATGATACTCAGAACAAAATAAAATTTATCAATGACCAAAAGTACTAACAGATACAGTAGAAAAAGAGATACTCAAGAGTACCAACGACAAAACAGTAAAAAACGATACTTTAGTCGAATACTTTAACTGAAATAAATTCAATTAAAGTGAAAACAGTAGTCTTGATACGTAATAAACGATCAAAACAAACAAATTTACTCAGCGAGGAAAAATGCCACTGTCCTTTTTAAATAGCGCGCTATAACGTTTTTAGATTGATGCTGATTTATCACGCAAAATACCTCTTCAAATAGTGTTACGAACGTTAAATTGTTTTTACTCCCTACCCAGAAATCCTATTACAAGCAAAGTAGACAGTTCGCTAATATACGAAGCCTACTCAAGACCCTATAATACCTGGAAAAAAATAATACAAAAAAAACGAAAGGAGCTCTGATAGCTTCGATAATAATAGGAAGATAGCCAATTGTATATCACAATACTGTTTCTAGCACTATATTTTATTTTATAAGCACACATAATCCCATACTCTCAGGTCCTTTCCGAACCACCTCCATTTGTCAGTTGTATGTCCACTCACACCTTGTTAACACTTATTTTCTTTAACCTATTAAAGTGCTCTTTCTTAACAAATACCTTAATAAAAGAAAATTAGACTGAGTAATCATACCTTAAACATTCCTTCATGAATATTGGCTACTCTGCCTCTCGTCCTTTTTCTACTTGCTCTCTCTTTCAACCCCCTTGTGATATAGAACGAAAGATTTCATCCTGTACCATCCTCAAAGCCTTAGACATTCTAAAGGGATATAAGGTTGCGACAGTTAGAAGCTCCCACCTTCAATGGATCTATTCTTGACCATCAGATGCACATTTGCAACGCAACCTTCATGAAGCGCGCCAACTGTTGAACTGATTAAAACCATCTTCATTCATATCTTATAAATTATCAACCCAGCTATGTAATTTACTACAGTGGAAATTGTATCAGTTTGATCTTGCCTGTAAACTGGCATGCCTCATGTAACAAACTGTTATTTGAGAATAAATTATTATTTTTACCATCAGTATTATTGTGCTTGACAAACTTTTTGAGAAATTTATTAAGCATTCACCCCTATCTACAATATCTGACCTAATTTATTTTATCCTACATATTACGTAATTTCTGATTTTTATTCCATTATTCTCCCTCTCTCACAACATGTTGACCATGTTTGTTGTGATCGTTATTTATCTCACAATTTCATTTCACTTTTAAACTGATTCAAGTTAACACTTCATATTAGTCAGCCCCAACATTAACGATTTGATTTTATATAATAGGCAATTCTTGATTCACATGTTACAATTTTAAATGATGTACTCTGCCTTAAATCTGTGGAGATAGACCTGACAACCTTATTTTGTAAATAGTTTTCAATGTTGTTTGTATTTGTAACATTTAACTTGTAAACATTAATATTACTATTGATTGTTATTAATATTTACAAGTTAAATGTTACAAATACAAATAACATTGAAAGCTATTTACAAAATAAGGTTGTCAGGTCTATCTCCACATAGCTCCTCCCAGAGTGTCCGGAGGTAACACTGGTTACAATAATAACAATCAATAGTAATATTAATATTTACAAGTTAAATGTTACAAATACAAATAACATTGAAAACTATTTACAAAATAAGGTTGTCAGGTCTATCTCCACAAATCTGGTCAATTTTTTGGATTATTAACTTGGACTTACAATTGTAGAGTCTGATGAGAAATTGTTGAAAAGGATATTCTTCGTTCATATAATTGTCTTTTCTATATTTTTCAGTTTACTTCAGATATGCAACTTATTTCTGGGACAAACAATGTGGTTGCAGACGCTCTATCCCGCATAACGTACTTGAACAGATTCCAAGGGGTCCTTGAACTCACATGGTTCAAATGGACCCACTTTAAACTCGATCAGCTTCAAGAGGAATGTATTGCTCTTCTTCACGTGTTTTCTTCGGCATCCCTAAAATTGCGCATTAAACGGATGGGAACAGGTAAAGAAACCTTACTATGCGACACATCTACAGGTAGGGATCGTCCAATCGTGCAGAAACATTATCGACGCAACGCCTTCATTACGTCGCATAAACTTTCCCATCCAGTTGTTCGTGCAACCATCAAGCTCATAGCAGAATTACTTTTCTTGCCTGGTATGAATAGAAACTTAAAGGAGTGGAGAAGTTATTCTGTGAGCTGTCAGAACCCTGAGGTGGTTAGACGCAACAAATACCCCTTAGCTGTTTCACAATTCCCGATGCTCGTTTCGATCATGTTCATCCGGATTTGGTAGAATCTTCAGATTGAAATAGATACCCTTACCCCTTAATTTATTTAAACTGTCTCACTCGACGGCCAGAAGAAGTATTCATCAAGGAAATTACTGTAGAAGCAGCGACCTACGCCTTCGTCATACGGTGGATAGCAAACTTCAGCTACCCTTCAACTATCACTACGAACCGTGGATACCGGTTTGAAGTTGGACTTTTCCGTTGTCTGACTACATTATCTCATCCAGTAATCAACAGTCAAAATGACAACCAACCCAAATCAACGTGCTCTGAGAGAAGAGTGAGGTTTTCAGAACAGTTAAAAGACTACTGAATGTAAGACCCTACGTAAAACTTTGTTTCGTCTTGATTTTTTTGTATCATTGTGTCAAAAACAAAAGCAAACTATTTTAGTATTCTTATACATATATATTTATTGTTTCTATTTAAAAACTTTTTGTCGCTAATATGCATGCTTATCATTCACGTTTAGATCTAGGGACATGACTTTCGATCAGGTTACATCTCGCTCAAATGTATAATGAGCTAATATATCAGCCATTCAGGAGTGCGTTGTTAAGACAGATTAGTCTATCAGTTGAAGAATCATGGTCTATAATTAAAGGAAAGTTTAGTTTAGTTACGTCCTCGTTCATACCAAATAACAGTCCATCGTGGGTAACAAAACCAATGGGGAAAATTCTTAGAAGGAAAAAGCACTGAAATATGTTCATCTCTACAATGCAGTTCTTGTAAAGCGTTGGTAAGTAAGATTAAACGATCATATGGAAAACAACTGGTTAGGGACTGTAGATATAATCCGAAACGGTTATTCTCGTACATAAAAAGGCGAATTCAAAGAAGCGATGGAATTCCATCACTTTTGATACAGGAAAATCCGTTAATCTTGGCAAGAAATGACACCTAAAAAGCTGAAGGTTTATCGTAATGTTTCATTAAAGTGTTTTTTATCAGTAATAAAGAATGACCAACGATTAATTGTGATTGTAGCAGGTTGTTGATGGACATTGTAGTCATTGGGATGTGTGATATCTTAGGAGTACTTGAGCATCTAAAATATGATAAGTCCAGTGGTCGTGATCATATTCATCCTAGGATTATGAAGGCCATATCAGATTTAATTGATGAACCTTTAGCGATACTGTTTGACTGGTCTCTGAGGCAGTCCATACTGGAAAGACGCGATAACAAGTCCGATGTATAAGGCTGGGAGTAGGGATTTAGTTAGTAGCTATAGATGGAAAAAATAATTCGGATATCTGTTAAAAAGTATGTGGTAGGGCATAAACTTTCACCCAGGGGACAACATGGTTTTCGGAGAGGCCTTTAATGCTTAATAAATCTTCTCATTGCAAGAGAATATGGGGTTGCAGCAAAAGATCGGAATATTCCTGTAGATATGATCATCATAGATCTAAGTAAGGCCCTCGATAAGGTCTCCCATTCTGGCCTTAAATTCAAACTGGAACATTTTGGAATCCAATATACAGTCGTTATTTGGATATTTAACTTTCTCAATGACAGGAGACAAAGGGTAAGGGTTAATGGAGCTCTCTTCATGTGGGTACCTGTAAAAAATGTATCTCGCAAGGTACAATCCTCGGTCCTCTTCTCTTTTTACTTTATGTAAATGAATTACCAACTATAGCGAAATCATCCGTTCTGCTCCTCGCTGATGACATAAAAATTTGAATACCCATACACAGTATGTCGGATAGAATGGTATTACAGGATGATCTTTGCTCATTGGTGGCAATGGTTGGACAGGTGGTCACTAAAAGTTAATCCTAATAAGAGTGTGGTGATGCAATTAAATAACTTTGATGAATCGTCTCACTATACAATTTGTGGATTCATGCTATCCAAAGTAAGAAACCATAAAGATTTAGGAGTCATATTAAGCAGTGACCTCAAAACCACTAGTCACTGTAAGGCTGCTGCTGAGAAATGCTATAGGGTATTATGGTCTATTCGTAGGTCTTTCCAGTAGTTAGATGATGGAATGTTTAGATTATTATACCCGATTTATGTGCGACCACATTTAGAATATGGGATTCAATGAGCGAGTCCATGTTTCAAGTATGAGGCAGATATGCTGGAACGAGTCAAACGACGAGGTACCAAGATGGTACAAGGTCTATCTGGCCTATCTTATGAAGACAGTCTGAGACACCTCAACCTAATTCCGTTATCTTACCGTAGAATACAGGGTGATCTAATATTGGCTTATCGTATACTGAACGATGACCTCGGTCTTATTTTTTACTTCCGTCTGGGATTGATCATTTGAAAGGACATTCGAAGGAAGTTCAAAAACCGAGATCAAATCGTCAACGTTTGTAGTTTTGTTTCTGACACCGAGTAGTGAATTACTGGAATTCTCTACCGAAACATGTAATATCAGCACCTGTTGATGTATTCAAAACGAAATTGGGCCTCCACAGTGGTACAAACTGCAAGGATTAATATAGGTCGATATACCTCCTATCCCTACTAGTGAAGACTGAGGGAACGCCAGAAGTGTTGATTCTCCGTGTTCAGTTGTACAGTGGGACAATTTAATTTTGAGAGTTCATTATTTGTACAACGAACATTTGTAACAGGCATTTGAACAGTCTCTTGAATTAGCATGTCAGACGCGATTTCTTTTTATGGATTTTCCTTGGTGGTCAGCAATGCAGTTTGTGTGGCTCACTTGCTTTTAAAAAGCGTGATTAACTGAAAGTTCCAACGATAAGATGATTTGCCCAGTGGTATCACGAGTTCTAGACATGGGAGCTTCTGAGATACTTAGTAGGTTGGTTATACGAATGATTTTGCCAATATTTTATCGGTTCGAGAATAACATATAGAATTTAAACTGTGTATTTTAATGTCACATCAATGCCACTGAAGCTGTCGGATATCATGAGTCTGGTTTCTGATGCCATATTAACAGTATTTAGACCGATGGACTTCACTACAGTTTGAAGCCACGTGGGTTCTGTATATTTAATTGGAGTGGAAACAACCAAGACTTATGTGGACTATATCAAAATGCATAGAAAACCTGGTGCGTGGTAGTAAATAAATTTGCGATATCAAGATAAATCACAAAGATGGTTCGGACGAATCTAATAAACGTAGTTATCAAGTTACTCAGTAATTTATCTTAGTAGTTTGCTTACATGCAAATGATTGAACTTCAGACGGAAAACAGTAACAGTATAGACTCAATAGTATAATGGTGAGTGGAGAGTTGATGGTTAGCTGGGATTGGTAAGGCAATATGGGTTTGAATGTCAAATTAGCAACAGTGTCTGTTCACATGTATGTTAGGTCGTCTCAGCCCACTGAAACAATAAAAGTCAATTTAATTATTTTAAAAACTGATTTTCGACAAAAGTAAATTGAACACCGAGAGTAAAGTTTTGTTCTTGCTATTTTCTCTGTTGAAATGCTGATCGACCTTGACACAGATTTAGAATATGTGCCCGACATGACATCAGATACGAGTTTTTTTGACATAATTATTGGCTCGTCGGCTGGTTTTGTAAAAGGTATTACCCCTAACTGAAGTTTACTGGCATAGAAATTTCGATTAGCAATCACACTTTATCTCCAGCTTCTCTAATTAAGAATGAAAACATTAGTACAATGTGCTGGTGCGGCGCATTTGAATCTGAAGTTTGTTAATTTCCGTATGTTATTTAGCGCTTATTGGTTCTTTTCGGGTGCCGTTCTGGAAAGCTTTATAGCTTAGACATCAAGAGACACTCAGTTACTCCTGTCGAGCAATTCTCAAAGTCTCAAGAAGATTCTGTTGTTTCTCTGCAGTCAAATGACAAGTTAGTGTGCGTATTTGATTATTAAGTCAGATTAATCCTTTCAGCTCACTCATCAGGAGACATTAGAGTTTTTTCCCGCGACTTTACGTCAGAGAAAGTACGTCTTCCGATTTGGTTGCTCACTGGTTTTTGTAGTTTCAGCTAAATGCATCAGGATTGATTTGCACAGCAAAATTAGCGGCAAACCAAATTGTTGCCGGAGGAAAAGAATTAGCCTTGCGAGTGTGGGATATAAACAACCACAGCTCGCCAATTTTCACTGCTAAAAACGTCCGCTCCTCTGTACTGGAACTTTCTGTCCCCATATGGATTGCTGATATTAGCGTTGTACCTAAGTCTAATGGAAAGCTCATATTAACCGCCTCGAGATATGGCGAGGTAAGCTTTCAAACGTCGTTTGTGTTTCAAACACTCTCCATCTAAATATATACCTTGATTTCTTGAACACAAAGAATCATAACTTAACATCGTTCCAGTCACTGGTTTTCAAGTATCAACTCCACATGGGAGAAGATTAACACCCTTTAAGTCTTCTCAAAATTCTTAGTATCACATCCATGCTTTAGCTCTGTTAGTTTTCACCATGTGTTCTAGGTGTAGGTTTATATCAATTCCACTTAGTCTGTAAAATTAAGGGTTGAATGGATTATAGTTAGTCAGTCAGCTACAACATTGGACCAGGCACTTATATACATCGGCCCAAGTCGCCAAACCTCATTAGCACAACAAGATGAACACCGGATTCATAGGAGTAGTTACCTCAAAGGTAGTAATAAATAAAATAAAAATTATGTATAAGGACAATACAGGAAGAAAGAATTAGAAAGGTGTAAAGTAATTTTAATCTCACGATTTAGGGGAAGATGAAGTGTATACACCGACGCCGTTGTGATCGATTCTGAGCCATATCACCCAGAGTCTTCAACCATTGCTTACGATAGTCACGCGGACCCCAACCAAGTAGTCTGCATCTACTAACATGGTTCAGACTAGAAGTTAGTGACTTCAATGACTGACTCCAAGTTTTGGCATCAGTCATTGAAGTAACACTGACGTAACATTTGGGAGTCTAGGGTTGAAATGGTTTGTTATTGTTCAGATAAAACGAAGAAAATAGTTACCAGTCACTATTGTTAGGAGAAACCGATTTTCGGAGGATTTAAAGAGTTATTAAAAACCATATTTCTATTGATTCTACCAATCCGATATTTTAATGAGATTACCGTGTTTTTATGTGATGGTGTTTCGAATGTTATGAACCTAAATCGAAAACCCAACTCCTAATACTTGTAAGGTTCACCTAACACCGGGAAAGTACAGTGGAAAATAGCAATCCTGTTCACTTATAGGTCCATTCTGTTTATCTTCATCTACATCGCCGCATTATCTTACGTATTGGTTACTTGTTCATTCATGGTTGTCTCCTGCTAAATCTCCCCTTTGTGTTGTTGAAAAAATATTTGACAATATAAAGTGACACTGGTATGCCTACTCGCTTTAGTTGAATGTAACATCCTTTATCTGATAAGTTTTGGTGAAAACTAAGAAAATGGCTTATTATTCCAGTTTAACTAACCTGATATATTTATTCCGCGTCTTTAAAGTAGTTTGTGGAAACATTGACTCGTTATTTAGTTTTAATTTGATCTTCTGTGCATATTACTGTTTCACTACTCATATTTAGCTGGACATATACGACCTTCGATGTGGCCAACGTCGACCTGTTGCTCGTCACGCATGGCGTACAAGTCGCAAACATGGAAAACTCCATGTTGGTTCCGGAAAGCACAGTGCAGTGCTTCCGGATTTGACCACTACTAGACCAATCACAAAAGCAGTAGCTTACGATAACTCTCCAGGCATAGGATTACGTGTTGTTGCTGGGAACGCAGTTGGTGAACTATCTGTTTTGGATTTAAGACTCCCTCCAGAATATTCTAATTTGAATTCCTCCGATGGCCCTGGTGTTATACCAGTTAGAAGCTACGGATCTCGAGCACCTGACCCACCTTCTGGTGTTCGATGTCTTGCTGGAGCTTCAGGTTGTATAACACATTTAATATGTGGTGGAACTGATGAAGAAAATACATTTCCGTTCATGGAAGCAGCTATAAATAGTGAACCAATCATTCTAGCATCTTCGCTAGATCGGTATTTGCGACTTTATAATCGCGATACTGGAAAGCGTCTTGGAAAGGTAATACCAAACATACTAAAAGTTTTATTACGAATTTCATTTCTTCTGGTTTCCTCTTATTTTGATTGCTGAAAATCTTAATAACAATCACAATTAAGTCCATGGTGTTGTAGCTTAAGAGTCAGTGGTCATCTCATTTTTCTGCGTAAATATGATAAACTAACTAGTCTTTTTGACTTGGTAATGGGGTCCTATGAAGACGTTTTGTTTGAATGGGTTTCGATCATAAGCTGACTGAAGAACCACTGAAATCCAAGACCTACTAGATAGCTTTCTTCGTTTCACCCAAGTAATATAAAATACAAGATCTCGCATCTCATTGAGCACGAGAAGTGATATATTTCAACTTTCATGTACCAAATAACCAAGGATGCTGATTCACTGACCGATGGGAAGGACAACAGTGCAACTGACTTCCTGTTACATACTGTCCCTAAACAACGTGAATAGGATATTAAAAGAAGTCCTGAAACTCTTGTTGAGAAGGTTATAGGTAATGTAAAGCAAGGAAAAATAAGGGGTCCTTATGGATTAATGTTGATTATCTTTAAGCATGGTCGTCCACTTTCAGCAGTTAGATTGACTAAGATATAAGCAATGATCTGCGAACTGAACGTAATACAGTCTGACTAATCTCGATCATTAATCCTCCCAGTTTATAAAAAAACGAGTTTTCTTGTTGCAACCGGAAATAATTCGGTTTGATTAATGTAATGTCCAAAATATTTGCTTTGGTAGTCATCCGGCACTTAACAGGTTTGTAAAGGGGGAAACCGGGTTGGTTCCAGACCTTGACGTAGATGTGACGACTGAAAATCTGCCCTTTGCTAGCTTCTGGAATATATATTTTCCAACGTTTATCTACAGTTATGTTCGTTGACCTGAAAGCAACATTCAACTGTTTTGTCCGAGGAGTCCTATATTAGTGTCTGATGTTCAAAGGCTTAAGAAGTACATTAACCTTGTACAGGTTATCTACTTGAACTCACAACTTATAACCAACTGTTATCAGAATTGGTAACTTCAAATGGCGTTCGTTAGGACTGTTGACGTTCTTCATATTTATTTAACTTTGTAGTAGAAATTCTTTTCAGAAAGTCGCTTGTATCATCTAGTTTTCAGCAATACATCTCTTACCAGGAAATTCACTTGTTGACTTAAAATACACCGATGACGTAGTTCTACTTGGCAAGGACTCGGACAAAATACAGTCTTTTGATCATCTTCAGTAGCAAAAGTATGTCTGAAATACTCTTCTCTCCCTCTAAGTGCAGAATATTACTTCAGGGCTAGTCTGTGTCAACGTTTAAAATAATAACAGGGAGAAGGATTGGGCATAGGGTTGACAACATCATCATATCACGTGAAAAACAACCTTGCTGAAAATGCTAACCAGAATGAACAAGTTGAACCATTTAAACTCTACCCTCCAATTTGAAGGATCTTCTCTCAGAAAAATTATGACACTTCATAGTAAATGCCAAGATTCTTCGAAAGTCACGAGACCCATGCCCCTTCTAACAACCACAGCAATAATTAATATAGGTACATAGAATGCCCAGACAATGTGAGAGACAGAGGACTAACCGAATAGCTACAGAAATGAGGAGATACAACTTGCAGGTGCTCGAATTAAGTAAAACACATTGGACCCAAGCTAGACAGAAAAGACTAGATTCGGGAGAGATGTTGCTGTACTCTGATCATAAAGACGCAAATGCTCCACACACAAAAGGATTTGCTCTGATGCTGTCCAAAGAAGCATGACAAGCACTTGCTGAATGGAAATCTCATGGATCCAGAATAATCAAATCATCATTCAAGACAAAGAAGGGAATCACAATAAATGTTACCAAATGTCATGCACCCACTAATGAATGCAACGACAACGCTAAAAGTCGGTCTTATGAGAGGATGTAATCGATCGTGGAGATGTGACCAGGAAAAGACCTGACCATCCTGATGGAAGACCTGAACACCAAGGTTGCGATGGACTAAGACGGATTACATCGTGATCAACTACCGCTGGCGCGGCTGTGTACAAGACTGTCGCTCCTCGGAATGGACAACACCTAGTTTGAAAATATCACAGGAAAGACTAGGAGAAACGAACTAGAATATTGACAGATTTGCAAATTTATGTGCATTCTATGAAATGATTATAGTTGGCACTATATTCCCCCCAAAAACGCATACGGCTACATGGATCTTACTGGATCACAGCACATAGAACCTGATCGCTCATATTTGCATCAGTAAAAAATTCAGAAAGTCAATAGAAGACGTGAGAACGAGGAAAGGAGCTGTCATAACTTCGAATCACAACCTGATGGCTCGCAAGAATAAAGTGATGTTAAAGAAGGACTGGACAACTGGGAAAACAGCATTATCAAGTTTCAGTACATCCTTCGTTCAAAATACTGACAAACTCTGCATGGAAACCCTGCACAAGATTCAAGAAAGGAAGAACAAGAAGTTAACAATTAACAACAGTCGAACAAGAACGGAGAAAGTCAAGTCACAAATTGAATACACAGAGGCAAACAAGGAAATAAAGAAAAGCATTAAAGCTGATAAACAGAAATACGTGAAAGACCTAACAACGACATCGGGAAAAACTGCTACAGAAGGAAATATGAAACAGTTATATGACGCAACAAAGAAACTTGCTCCAGTGAATCCACCGGACACTAAAGCAGCACACACAGACATTCTTATAGCTGTCACTCCAACAACCGGAAAAATCTGCATGGCCACCAAAAGAATCAAGATCAGGACAGCAGCAGGAATACAGTGGACAGGATTTGGACTTCGCAGATGATTTAGTTCTGTTCCATACACATGAACAAATGCAGGTCAAGACAACTAGTGTATCAGCAGTCTCTGCATCAGTAGGCCTCAATGTACACAAGGGAAGAAGCAAGATCCTCAAATGCAACACAGAAAACACCAACTTAATCACATTTGATGGAGAACATCTGGAAGATTTGGAAACTTTCCTGTGCCTTGTCAGAACCATCTATGAACAAGGAGGCTCAGATGCAGACATGAAGGTGAGGATTGGAAAAGCAAGGGCCGCATTCCTACAATTGAAGAACATATGGAACTTAAAACAACTTTCAACCAATATCAAAGTCAAAATCTTCAATACGCACATCAAGACAGTTCTACTGTACGGAGCCGAAACTTGCGGAACTACCACAACCATCATCAAAAAGGTACAAGTATTTATAAACAATTGTCTACGCAAGATACTCAATGTTCGTTGGCCGGATACCATCAGAAACAGTCTGCTATGGGAGAAAATAAACTCGTTTCCAGCTCAAGAGAAAATCAGGAAAAGACGCTGGAGGTGGACGGGGCATACATTGCGGAAACCATCAAACTGCATCACGAGGCAAGCCCTAACTTGGAATCCTGAAGTGAAACAGAGGAGAGAAATAACAAGGAACACACTGCATCAAGAATTGAAAGCAAACACCAAAAGGATGAATAGCAACTGGAAAGAGCGGGAAAGGCTTGCCGAAGACAGAGCCGGGTGGAGAATGCTGGTGGGCGGTTTATGCTCATAGACGAGGGGCAACATGCGCAAGTAAGTAAGTGAGGAGTTTTGCAGGCCGTCTAGTATTCTGTGATTTTTTGTTCTTCACTAGATATCATACTGTGATAATTTATTTTTAAACTACACGAATTTTCACGAAACTGTTTTGGTAAATACTACGTGTGCCAACTGATAACTGGTTCTCGTGAAGATTATCTGAGGGAAATTCTTATTGAATCATGATTTGATAAAAAAGAGAAAAAGGGAACCAATATTTGATCTATTCACTAATAAGTTAATGTCTTGAAGAGTTTAAAAGAATCATTATTACTGTTTACTACAGATGTTTGTTTTCGATCATCAGATAGTTGAGATAAGCTGGTATCATTACATAATTTATTTGAAATGAAGTACGCAAAAAGTTATAACTAGGTAAATATTATACGACAGTGTCCCTTACATATTAAGTGCACTCATGGTTTATAACAGTGTAGTAAGGCTTCATAATGTATAACAATACATATTTTTAAAGTCCGTAATCACCTATATATTTTAGCTTTATTTCTACTTTGTTCTCTGTGTAAACTTCATTATGAATTAAGCTATGTGTAACGCGTTTAATTACAATTATATTTATTCCGTTTTTTTAATTGTGCAACAGATATATGTTAAAGTCCCTGTAACATCATTTCTTGTCCGTAGAAATGCAAGCTTTGCGAATATTGAGAACTTTTTAAAGAAAGACAATGATATTAGTGTTTCAAACGAAGAAGAAAAAGTTGAAAGTTCTTACGGCATATCTAAGACAGAACAAAAAGAATTTGAAGACTTGTGGAATCAAATACCAGTTGTCGACAACGATAATGACGGTGTTAATGAAGGCGGTAAAAGGACCACTGGGTTTAAAATTGGTAAACGGAGGCGCAAGAAGTAGAGAATATTTGATACAGTGTTGTGTAATATTTTGTGTATAAAATATTAAAAAGCAAAACTAAAAAAGGACTTCTTATTTAACACCAGTTAAATATTACAGATGGACTATCAATAACCTTAACTGTAACACTTTGTTCCAGGACTAAAATCATTTTGTCCCAGTTAGATCGTTTTTAATGAAACTCAGTTCACCAGTACGATTTTTCTTCGCAAAACGGTATGCACAAGTTTCACAGTAATTTTTCAGTCGTAAAGTAGAATATATTTTCCACCGGCTCACTAGCTGGATTTATGGTGGTCTTTGCGTTTCCAACAAAAATTCATACTCGCCTGTCGGTATTGCTAAATCTCACAAGAATGGCATTCTTGATATAATACAATTAGATGTTTAGATCTAAAATTTCTACGGAATAGTAGTTGGTCCAGTTCTACTCATTTTTGAATGCTATTTGATTGTGTTTTAAGTTTTACCACAAGGCATCCATGTAGAACAAAAGTGGTTTCAAAGTGTGTGTTCACGACCTCCATTCTTTGTGTCTAAAATCATAGTTACATTAGTAGTTTCTAATGGGAGCTTGTAATTTATGAGTTACTGTTTTCTTTACTATATCATACATCTAATTAAATTTTAGTTGTGTTTGTTCAACAACAAGCAAACGTACAGCGATTAGATTCCTGGCATTCTGATTAGCACGGATCAGCTTAGTTACCATAATCAGTAAGCCTAATCAACACATCAAAGTGGCAGCTGTCTGTAAGAGAAGAATCTAAACGATGATGTGATGGAATTGACAAATCAATAAGTTGAATCTGTAATAAGATCAAACATTAGCCTGTTGACCAACTTGTATTAAGAGGGTGTTATTGTTGTACATTTATAACCATTGATCCACTTTTTTTGCAGCGAATTAGGTGAGTCTTCGGAAAATCACACCTATCAGTACTGTTGGATTGGTTTATGTGACTGGTTTAGTTTGGAAGTAATATGCGTCACGAACCTACGTCAGTTGGCATACCATTGAAAGCCAGGATGGACTGGAAGTGGAGTTCCGTCTTGTCAGGATCGAAATAGTCGTTATCAATGGCGTTAGATAAAAGTTTTGCTATGCCGCTAATTAACCAAAGTTGGAAGCATGTACCACTGAACAACAACTCAATATCCTATGTTTGATTGCTGTCAGGGTCATAGGTCCTCAATCCAGGAGTCCCATACTAGGTTGAGAAATTTTTCAGTCTGCTATTGTTTTTCCTGCAATCGAATAAGTATAGGTACAGAAAAATGTATACTGTGTCAATGTGATCTGTCGATTGGATCTTACTTTCAGTGGTTAAAATATTCAGTCCATAAATCAACTGTATCATTCAATATGATTTTCATGTAAATTCGAATTCCTCTGCATTTATAACAAAAGTTGGTATATTGATAACATTTCTAACTGTGTTACTAAATGGTGCGGATTGGCATTTCATATAGTATCATTCCCTTCAAGTTTGGAGATACTGCCTTGCTCACAAGTAACAACTGATCAGTGTCTTAATGGTTTGGACAACCGGGTAGTATTAATAAATTTCATACAGTGTGTGGTTTGAAACCAAGTATATGAATCTGTACTTGGTAAATGGGTTTACACATATCAGCCTTCTCACTAATTTCCTCTAATCACAACAGTACAAATGCTATTTCAATGTCGAGCTACCTAGAGTAGTGATCACATCATAAAACACAAATATAATATTGAATAGTACTGGACTCTTAATCCGTATAAAGTTAACTTTATTTTAGTTGTTCGTATTTCCAATGACAAACAATTCTGAAGCTTTTCATTCTGTCTCATACCATCATTATCACCAACAAGGTCAATGGATTTTAAAGTTATCAACTTAAATATTCAATTAGTGTATTATTCCCGCTAATTTTGCACGTGATGAGTATTATATTCTAATAAGTCGGATATTTAAATTATGATAAACTGATTGATTTACTGATCAACTCATTAAACTGAACATTATTTCCAAAAAACGTTTGTACAGTAAATTGTTTTGTTTTTCCTTTATACTTCTTTTATTGTTTGAATTACTTACGCCTGTTACTCCTCGTGAAACAGCATGGGCCACTCACCAGCATTCTCCATCCAACCCTGTCCTGGGCAATCCTTTCCAGTTGTTATTCATCCTTTTCATATCTGATTCCATTTCCCGACATAGTATATTATTCGGCCTACCACTTTTTCGCTTCCCTTCAGGATTCCAAGTTAGGGCTTGCCTCGTGATGCAGTTTGATGATTTGCGTAATGTATATCCTATCCATTCCCATCGTCTTTTCCTAATTTCCTCTTCAGCTGGAAGCTGGTTTGTTGTCTCCTACAGTAGGCTATTACAGATGATATCCGGCCAATTATTGTTTGAATAGTCGGTTACTGATGGAACACTGAAACAATCCAGATTTTATGATTATAATATCATTTGTTACTTTAATAAAACTTTTTGAAACTTCCATACTCCACCATTTATTACTGAAGTTATGTTTATCTTCCGATTGTATATAGAAATATGCATTAAGAAATCTTGTATTCATTGAATAAAATAGTTTTTTTTCTATGGAATAGTTATGCTTATTCTAAATCTTTTTGGAAGGAATAAGTTTCTGATGATATACGTACATATACATAGAAGTTTTAATTGAAACTGAAACTCAATTTAAACGAAATTAAAACATATGGTATACTTTAATGTTGTTTATGCAGTAGACATAAATTTCAAATATGATCGTTTGTAAAACTAATGCTTATTAAGTAGATTAAAGTTGTAAATTCCTGATATACGAGTGGTTAATTTTCAACTAATATTATGGTGTGCGCTACTGATGTCCACAACGAAGATGAAGGAAGACTGGCAAATCTATGTGCATTCAACAAATTGGTCATAGGCGGCACAATATTTCGACACAAAAGTATACACAAAGCTACATGGATTTCACCGGACCACGCCACAGAGAACCAGATAGATCATATTTGCATCAAGCAGGAGAAGAGCTGATATAGCTTCAGATCACCACCTAGTTGTGGCCAATTTAAAACTGAAGCTAAAGAAAAACTGGACAAACAGCACTACAAAGTTTCAATACAACCTTTCTTCGAGATACTGACAGACTCAATGAATTCAAGATAACTCTCAACAATAGGTTCCAAGCCTTACAAGATCTACTGAAGGAAGAAGCATTAACTTCAACGTGTCAAGAGGTTCTGGGCTTCGAGAAGCATCATCACAAGGAATGTATCTCTATAGAAATACTGGACAGGATCAAAGAAAGGAAGAACAAGAAGACAGCAATTAACAACAGCCGAACACGAGCAGAGAAAGTCCAAACACAAGCTGAATACATAGAAGCGAACAAGCAAGTGAAGGAGAGCATTAGAGCCGAAAAGCAAAAATACGTGGAAGAACTAGCAACGACAGCGTACAAAGCTGCAAGGGAAGGAAATATGAAACAGCTTTACGATACAACGAAGAAACTATCAGGGAAATACAGTAAACCAGAGAGACCGGTCAAGGACAAAGAAGGCAGGCCAATCACTGAAACTCAGCAACAGCGAAACAGATGGGTAGAGTAATTCGAGGAACTCCAGAATAGGCCAGCTCCAATGAATCCACTGGACATCGAAGCGGCACACACAGATCTTCCCATAGACGTCAACCCACCAACGAAGGAAGAAATCAGAATTGCCGTCAGACAAATCAAGAGCGGGAAAGCAACAGGACCCGACAACATACCAGCTGAAGCACTGAAGTCAGACATCGAAGTAACTACAAACATGCTTTACCTTCTATTCAAAAAGATTTGAGAGGAGGAACAAGTGCCGATGGACTGGAAAGAAGGACACCTCATCAAGATTCCTAAGAAAGGATATCTGAGCAAATGTGAAAAGTGCAGAGGAATCACACTACTGTCAGTACCAGGAAAAGTCTTAACAGGGTTTTGCTGAACCGGATGAAAGATGCAGTGGACTCCCAACTTCGAGATCAATAAGCCGGATTCCGTAAGGATCGGTCGTGCATAGACCGAATTGCGACACTACGGATAATCGTCGAACAATCAATTGAATGGAACTCGTCACTGTACATCAACTTCATTGATTATGAGAAGGCATTTGACAGTGTGGATAGGAGAACGTTATGGAAACTTCTTCGACACTACGGAGTTCCTGAGAAAATTGTCAATATTATCCGGAACTCATACGACGGACTACAGTGCAAGGTCGTGCATGGAGGACAGCTGACAGATGCATTCCAAGTAAGGACCGGAGTCAGACAAGGCTGTCTACTCTCTCCCTTCCCCTTCATTCTGGTGGTCGACTGGATTATGAAGACCTCGACATCTGAGGGAAAACACGGAATACAATGGACAGCTCAAAATCAATTAGACGATTTGGACTTCGCAGATGACCTGGCCCCCCTATCGCATACACATGAACAAATGCAGATAAAGACAGCCAGTGTAGCAGCGGTCTCTGCATCAGTAGGCTTCAGCATACACAAGGGGAAAACCAAGGTCCTCAAATTCAAGGCGGAGAACAGCAATACAATCACTCTTGATGGCGAAACTCTGGAAGATGTAGAATCCTTCACATACCTGGGAAGCATAATCGATGAACAAGGAGGCTCAGATGCAGACATGAAGGTGAGGATTGGCAAAGCAAGGGCCGCATTCCTACAATTGAAGAACATATGGAACTTGAAACAACTTTCAACCAATATCAAAGTCGGAATCTTCAATACCAACGTCAAGGTGGTTCTACTGTACGGAGCTGAAACGTGGAGAACTACCACAACCATCAGCAAGAAGGTACAAGTATCTATAAATAGTTGTCTACGCAAGATACTCAATGTTCATTGGCCGGATATCATCAGTAACAGCCTACTGTAGGAGACAACAAACCAGCTTCCAGCTGAAGAGGAAATTAGGAAAAGACGATGGGAATGGATAGGATATACATTACGCAA